TATATTCTTTAATACTTTTTTTTAAACATATTCTTTAATATAATACTTATTTTTTTATCAACTAGTATTTTATATGCGCGATACGTAAAAATATATGTCTAATATTAATATATAATATTAATTTTTTTTTAAATAATTGTATGTGTTATAGAATTTATATTATATTAAAAATTTATTGATAATTTAAATAATAATTACAATATGATTAATATTATTAAAGTAAGAATTTTATATATGATAAGTTACTAAGTATAATTATGATAACATTTAATTAAAATCTAATGAAATCATACTTATTTCTTACAATAGCATGTTTACCTACAATATTACAATTGATGAATAATATAAGAAAATATATTGTGTATGCATGTGCATAGCAGTGTTGCAAAAATCGGTCTAGGCGCCCGCCTAGGCGCTAGGCGCCCCTAGACCGTGGCGATTTCCCCCCTAGGCGTCCGCCTAGCGTCTAATTCGGCCGACTTGGCCGCCTAGCATCTAACTTAGCCGAGTTAACTCGTCCATTTCGGTCGAGATAACTCGATCAGCTTGGCCTTGCTAATTATTTACATTATATATATATATATATATATATATATATATATATATATATATATATATATATATATATGTGTGTGTGTGTGTGTGTGTGTGTGTGTGTGTGTGTGTGCGCGCGCGCGTATATATAATATGACATATATACACCGGTAGACTAGTTTGATACTTTGAATCTTTGGATGATTGAGGTATTTGAGTATTTCATATTTGAGTATTTTTAATTTTTAATATTGTTTTGATGTTATGACTTGCGAATTATCATTATTTCATTTATTTGGATGTGTTATTTGATTGAATGTTGAAAACAGCCTCATTAAAATTGTCAAACTGCAAGTCTGCCATTGTTTTTTTGGCGCCCGCCTAGATTCCGCCTAGGCGCTAGGCGCTGCCCGGGCGCCCGACTAACGCCTAACGCCTACTGCAACCATGGTGCATAGTAATAATAATGTGAAAGATAATAGAAGTTATAACGGTAAGGATATTTTTGTCCAAAAAATTGTATAGTACAACTCTTATAGCATAATGTATAAAAGAAATTAACAGAAAAAACAGACATAAATAAATGACATAACTTGGATTGAGACTTATTATCATGTTTTTAGATTTAGGGTGTGTTTGGAAACTCAGAAAATGATTTTAAAATCATTTTCTAGGTTTCCAGTGTTTGGCTAGAGAGGGAAAATGGAAGTCAATGAAAAATAGAGGGGATTTCCGAAAAATGACTTCCTTTTTTGGGGGGAAAGTCATTTTCCATTTGCAGCAGTGGAGCAACCAATCACCCGCCGCCACCACCACCCCACCGCCGCCATCATTGTATATTTTGAATATTTAAAATTAAAAATAATTATGCTCATTTTTCAAAAAATGAACCAAACACACCAAGACAGTTTTCTGGAATGCAACCAAATACTAGAAAGGAAAATATTTTCTAAAAAATGACTTATTTTTCATAAAATATTTTTCAGAAGTGATTTTCCTGCTTTCCAAACACACCTTTAGATTAGGTTGATATTACATTTATTACTAACTAATTAAATTAATAAGTTTTTGAATTAAATATATTGCTAGACCCATTTTACCCATTTAGTAGAAATATAATAGACATTTTTTTATTACAAAAGAAAGAAGATACCCACATATACAATCTACGCCTAATACGAGGTTCGAACTTCAAACCTCCCATATAAGGGACCAATCGGATGCAAATGGACCAATAAAATAGACATTAGTTGGACATTATTTACAAGAAAGATTTGAGGAATTTAACATTAAATGATGAGGCCCCAAAGCAGTGTCCTTAGCTGTGCAATTATTTTAAGGGAATAAATAATTCATTTTAAGCTTTTATATTAGGGCCTAGCGATTGTGTGGGTTTCTTTGGAGATTCGGCAGCTAAAGAGAGGAATATGAGTTGGTTAGTGCATACATTTTTTGTCCGGAATAAAAAAATGTGATTGTTACTTACTCGCTTCAATTAATGTTAATAAGATATTTTTTTTTTTGAATGCTACTGGTTCTATTATAATGTAGACAATAATGTCTCCATTGATGCTCGAACTCACAACTTTTCAAATCAAAATTCAACTCAAGTACCATTAGACCACATAGTCCTAGTATGTTAATAAGATATTAATTAAATGATAATAGCAATTATTAACTAGATATGATCCGATGACTCAACGGAGTACTCAAATATCTTAAGAGTGTATTCAATTTTAGCTGTTCAAAATTTTATAAACTTTTAAAAAATAGATTTTTATAGATTTTTTTTTTACCAGGACTATGTGGTCTAATGGTACCCGGATTGGATTTCCATTTGGAAGATTATGAGCAATGGAGGCGTTATTGGTTCTTTGTGTTTCAGTAGGTTGAGAAAGTATATGAACAGATACTACAATGTAATAGAGTCAGTAACTTTCAAAAAAAAAAAATTTATAAATTTTAAATGACTTTTTATGACATCTTTTTGGACTTTAATAAATTTAAAGATTTCATAGAAGTCTTATTATATCATAAATATTTATAGACATATTTTAATTTTTTTTTTTTTAAAGTCTATAAATTGTATTAACACTCTAAATTGATTACATTATCACAAACTTTCATTGATTTCGATTAAATCTTCTTATTTATAATTTTCTTTAAAAAATTGTTATAATATATCATATATTTTATAAATCTTGACTAAAATTTGTATATTGTAATTGAGAAAAAAAATTTGGTCTCACAAAAAATAAAACATTATATTTAAAGGTTTGAAAGATTAAAGAGCCTATAAAAGTTAATCATTTGTTAAGTACTAATAGATTTGTTAAAATTCTTAAAAGTTTTGAAATAAGTAAAAATTTGTGTGAGATCGTCTCATGGGTCTCAATCTATTAGACGAGTCGGATCTTTGATTAATGAGGTCAAATATTTGACTCAAATTTGAAAGACGACATGGCCGTCTCAACCACCGGCTGTCAGAGCTGGTGGTTGTGTTTTTTTTTTTTTTTTTTTTTAAATTATATATATATATATAATACTAATAAATAAATAAATTTATAAAAAACAAAAATAAAAAATATTTTAAAAAAATACGTGTCAAAAGACTTAACCTGTTAAACAAGTTACTTTGGACTTAATTGAATAAATTTACAGATTTAGGGGATGTGAATGGAGTTTTTTTTTTTTTTTTTTTTTTTTTTTAGGGGACTCAAATTACACTAAGGGAGCCAATTTAACACTTTTTTTCAATTACTACAAGCTTAAATTTAACAAGACAAACACATGCGGTAACTAAAAAGGGGTTAACAATTCTGATATTTAATAAATTCAAGTGATTTTTGCAAAAAGTTATCAAATCTATTCTTTCTTTTCTAGATGATCACCATACCCCTCAAGAGCCAGGACCAACATACTTGCCAATTAAAAAATTATTAAATATAAAAATTAGGTGTGTTCGTTATGAGATGGGTCCTAGATTACTATGCGCTGTTTGGTTTGAGGTAGTTTAGGTGTAATTGAATTGCAATTTCGCGGAGATTACAATTACGCCGTTTGCAATTCCCTCCAAATGCTGAATTCTAATTCAGATCCCCCCTCCCCCCTCCATGAATTACAATTTGGTGTTTTGACGGGAGAATAAAAGGTAATGTGAAGATCATTTTACCCTCTAATATTATTTTATCTTATTAGCTGTAGTTCCTTTTTCGTTCCTTGTTTCTTCCACATTCATCCTTCTTTCCCTTCTTTTTTTTTCTCCCCTTCCTTATTCTTTCGGCATGTCCTTGTTTCTTCCCCATTCTTTTTCCTTTCGTTTTCGTTTTCCTTATTCTTTCTTCCTGTTACCTTTCTACACATTTAAGAAGTAAGAACTATTATTATTATTATTATTATTATTATTATTACATAAGGACATTTTCTGTTAAGGTTGTCTCCTCTTCCCCAATCACCAGCCGGGTAAATTCTTCGGGAGACCAGCTGGATGGCAAGCCCCCCCCCTCCTATTTCCTCTATCTTCTCTTGAAAGAAACGAAGAATTCTATTTTTATTAAAGTTGTCACTCAGCTCTTGTGGAGAAGAGGAAGCCAGCTCATTTCGGACCCCAGTGGACGCCTCAGAAGCGGAACTAGATGGAGAAATGGAAATATCCAACCAATCGCTGGGCGAAAAACGAGTTGGATGTGTTGGATTGAATTCGGATCCATGGAGTTCCTTTTCGTTAAGCGCATCGAACCAGGAGTGGACATTATCATCATCTGCAGATAAATAAAGATTCTCTTTCATCATTAGCTAAAGTGGAATAGTATGGCTGGCTTTCCGGAAAATAAGACGAAACCCGCTTTATCGATATGATAAACATGCGCTCAAAAAGACCTCCGTTCACCCCCCCTGCCAAGCGATCGAGTTTAGTCAACATTTGCTGTAGAAGTAGCTCCCGCTCCAGACTTACTTCAAGGAAAGAAAGGATTGGGCAATTCCGCCGGTTCTGGGGCTTACCTTATTATAAAGAAACCCTTGAACCTAATCAATAGTACGGGTGCAGCCGTGCCACGAGGCACGACCATGAAAGTAATTCAAAATACTAGACATTGTATCACTTATTCCTTTTCAATTCCATGTCTTATTCCTGCATACCAAACACTGTAATTTGAATTCATACTTTATTCCCACCTTATTCTTTTTTCACCGAATTACAATTCATTTCCCTCCTAATTCATTCCTTTTAACCAAACGTCCTATTAGAGAATTTATTACCATGATTTACTTTGTGTGCTTGCATATTATGTGATTAGATCCATATATGTTTTTCTTTTTAAACAATATCTTTTCTAAGTAAGAATTTAGTTTTATCCATATTAAATTTTGCAAAACTTCACCTCAAACAAAATTAACCCACCAAAAACAGTCTATAGACCTTTGAAAAGAAAAATGACAATAAAAATAATCAATCAATCATCGTCATATTAAAGTTGTGCTATTACACTTGCTTTGAGAAGGGACTTATAACATATTTATGCAACAACTAAGGAACGGAACCCACTGGGAACAAACCTAGTTATACAACAAAATCTTTTGTTACATTAAGAAAAACATTACATCTTCAAGAAATGCAACACTTAACTGAAATTCTTCGATTCGGTCGATTAACCAAAGTTTGCACACCCTGAAGTACAGCAATGAACATCTAGAGATTGCTCTCTCCAATTAAAAGAGACTTAATGATTCTGTCAGCCATTCCATCGGCATCAGGGAACATGTGACCGGCACCCTGAAGCTCATGGTAGTGAATCCATGGAAGCTGCAGAGTGATGTATCTTTGCACAGCAACGGGTACAAGACGGTCCTCTTCTCCATGCCACACGTGAACAGAACCTTCTCCGTTAGGGAATGGGTTCTTTAGATCGGTCGGGCCAAACTCCCAGGTCCCAAACCCAACTATCAAGTCGCGGTGGAGGGACTCAAATTCCCCTTGTTGTCTCACCTGTGCCTAAAAATTGCCACCAAATTAAAGACAGATGACCCGGTGGTTAAAACTAGTAGGAATATAAGAATTAGGTAATGTAGATAAAAAATGACATGAAGAGCAAAATCTTCATTAGTTAGAGATCTTAGTGAAGGCAATAGCGCAATCTACTTTGAAGCCAATGGCAATAAAGATTGGGATGGAGAGTTCAGTCACAGTGCCAAAATTTGACTATTATAGTAGGGTGAAGCAATTACCATGTAGTCCACTCTTCGGGGATGAATTTTAGGCAGTAATTCTAAGTCATGTGGAGAAAGAATATCCCGGCTGTGAGCTGAAACACTTAAAGCCGGAAAGAACTTTTGGGTCTCCCACCAGTGTACAAGCCATGGAGCATAGTGAGCAACACGTAGAGCCCACTGATCCCGGGGAAGGTGCTTAGAGAAGCCTTGTTTGGATAAGTTTGCAGGAATGCTTGGCCACCAGTGATTGATGACGGGAGCTATAAGAGATGCTCCAGCCAATCTGTCACACATTACGACCAAAACACTCAAAAATGAACGAAACTGATTGCAGATCGTCTAGACAAGACCAAGAATACGACAAAAACTAGACAAAGATTCAAACTTTTTAAATTCCCTCTTCTCGTCCTTTGTCTATGCGATATTGTAATGTACATACCTATGAGGGATGTACTTGAGACAGGTCCAAACCACCTGCCCGCCCAGGGAAAATCCCACAACATAGAATTTTGAACCTAATCCCAATGCATCCGCGAGCTCCTCAATATCTAAAGCTATGCCCTTTTCAGTGCGTTTTGGATTGGGATCACTTTCTCCATACCCAGGTCTATCAAAGGAAACAATATAGACTCGCAAACTCTCAATAACATCCTGCACAAAAATAACTCGTTGCAGCTATTATGAACTAGGAGGGCCGAAAACTGAAAAGGATTAAAGCATTATAAGTTAAGGAACATTACGGGAGATAGATTATTGGCAATAACAGCATCATGCCTGCAAGAATCGAATCCATGAACATAGACTATCTTATACGCTGCTTTATCTTTGGGCACACCGTGTTCCTTGTAAGCAAGGTATCTTCCATCGCTAAGTTTTATTCTTGGAGCTGTGATTGGAGGCCCATCTGGTGAGCCACACAGCTTGGGCGCAGGGGGGCGAGTTGCCTGATAAGCCCATGCCAAAAATCCTATGAAGGAGACCAGCAATATTTTCCCAAATAATCCTGAAATGTTGAGATTCAATTATGAATTTATGATCTACCCAACTAAGAGGATTTATACACAATCTGATTTCATTTCACCCTATATGTATCAAAACAAAATATTCACAAGTCCACTGATTAGAGGCTGTCTATCAAGCATAAAACACTACAATTTTCACAACCTAAACAAAACCCAAATTTGAAACTCCAGATACACACATAAATCACTATCAAGATCACAACTTTTTTATCCGGAACTAAGAAATTATCATTCTTCACATGTTGCCCATGCTCACATACTACATGGAAAGCCCTCTGCTCTCTAAATTTTGGTTTGCAGATTAAAGCTAAAGAACTTTGTTTTGGCATCTGACCGCACACTCGATTTCGATCGATAGTTAAAGCGAATCTTGACCAACGAAGAACATTTAACATAGATTGAAGTTCGAAAATTAAACAAGCACCTGAAGGAAGTGGAAGCGAAGTCTTTTGCTTAGATTTTCTAGTGTGGGACCTGGCTGAAGCAGCTGAAATTTTCCTGGATGTTCCTGCGGCCATCTTTTCAAGAACACAAACCCAAAACTCGAAGAATTGTTTTGTTAGTCAATATGCACAGAGATATTTGTAGAAATAGGAAAAGAATAGGGAGGGAGATCTGGGTCTGAAAGTGCAAATTTCTTCATTTTTTTTTTGTCAAAATATGAACTTTCTAATATTAACTGCGAATCGACGAATCTACTAAAAGAAAGGGACAGATAAGTCCGCGTATCACAAAGCCTAATTCACCCACTATCATTCTGTGCTGTATTATTTGTTTCTTTTATAATTCACCTAATCATTCCTGAATTCACCTTTTAATTCTTCACTTAATTAGTTTTTAATATATTTAATTAATAATTTTTTTTAACTTGTGATAAAATTAACTAATTCATAAATATACCAGGACTATGTGGTCCAATGGTACTCGGGTTGGACTTCTATTTGGAAGGTTGTGAGTTCGAGTCTCAGTGGAGGTAAATTTTGTGATAAAAAATAAAAGGAAAAGGAAAAACAAAGGCAACACAACGTTTCTTGAAATCTTGAATAGAGCTTCCCTAATCAGTAAGTGAGTAACCGCATTCACAAATCCTTTAAATATAAAGCTAAGATTAAAAAATTCTGCAGCTATTCTAAAAATGCCATTAATGATGAGATCAAATGAGTCTAAAATGTTATAAATGTAGGCTAGGAAGAACTTAAAAGTGTGTCCATCTTTACTTCAATTCTGTCCAAATTTAATTCTTTTAACAATTTTAGAGCTTCCCTAACTCCAAAGAATTTTACTGTTTAAAAATACATTTTCTATATTTTAGATTTACTATTTTACCCGATCTATATGAGAAATTATATCGTGCACCGCGGTGCATAATCGATTATGCACCGCGCATCAAAACGACGTCGTTTTGTTTAATGAAAAGAAACGACATTCGCTTCCCGCTGTTCCGCACCCTTCCGCAAAAAGTAATTATGTTATTCAGTTTCATTGTATATATACTGCAGTTTCGGTTCAACACAACTACAGTTTCATTTCGATATAACTACAGTTTTATTCGATATTTATAGACTCAAATATGTGAAAGTATTATTTAATTTTATTTTATATATACTATAGTTTTATTAAAACACAACTACATGATCATTTTGATATGATTACAGCTTCATTGTACAATATACACTAAAAACTGTGAAATGTTATTCAGTTTCATTTTATATACACAACAGTTTCATTTCACCACAACTACAGTATCATTTTGATATAACTGCAGTTTCATTTGATAATATAAAAATAATACGTGAAACATTGACGATTTAGATATACTATAGTGTCAGTTGGCAATTAACATAACAAAAATGTGTTCCTTTAAAACTAATGGTGCCGTTTTGACCGCGGTGCACGTGCACCGCAGTCCACGATATAACGATTGGATCTATATGGCCTCCAGGTTTAACTGGCTAGTAGATTTTTGGCAATTTATATCCTACACCACGGCGCGCGTTGCACTATGCGCCCAGATGCAAAACGACGTCGTTTTAATTATTATTTTTTTTTTGAAATTTCCCGCCCCAGTGAATGACAGTAGTTTTTTCTTTAAAAAAAAATTCGTTGTTCAAGAATGTACATAATGTTATACTAGAATACACATAATGTTATACATGAATGTACATAATTATATAACAAAATATACATACTCTTTTTAAAAGATAATACACATAATCTAACATAATACATAATAAACATAAACTTTTAACATAATACACATCAACTCTTAACATAATACACACAAATTTTCTGATTCGAATGTACATAATTGTATAAAAAGAATGTACATAATTGTATAAAAAATACACATCTGTATGAACCAATACACATAACGTTGTGAACAAATACACATAACGTTGTGAACAAATACACATAATCTCAGCAACTTCCTACCGCGCCTCCCAACACTACTCCAAAACGATGTCGTTTTGGGAGGCGCGCGGCGCATAGTGCTATGTGCGCCGTGGTGTAGGATATAACGATTGTAGATTTTTAGACAAGGACAAATTGGGCCTTTATTTAAAAAAATACAAAAATTCAATGGACTCATTTAAAATAATGGCCCAAAATAATTGCCCCAACCATACTCAGACCATCGAGAATCTCGGAAGCAGAAAACATGCGGTTTAACACAGTACACACATACATTAATGTTTTTTTTTAAACATAAATTAATTGAACCGACAAAACAGACAATTTCAGCAGTTCAATTAAAAATAAATGTCCAACTCAATAGAATTTCTAATACTGACATTTAAAACTGAAGGCTAAAAGTGATACCAACAAATAAAAAATATATATATTTTGAGTACTACAAACTCTACTAACTCTATTATGGCACCCTCTATTACAATATAGTATCTATTGAAGCAAAGAGTCAATGTCTTCACTGGGCTAAAAATGACACATTTTGAGGTAAAAATGACATAATATCTCCCAAAACTGGTAAATATAATATATAATCAAAAGGCAACGCCCTATACTAGCTTGATATGAAAGTATGGGTAGTTAGTTGTTGGTGGAGTTTGAAGCAGCAGCATTAATGGCAGTGGGTGATGACATTATTGAAGAAGATGAGGTGGGCGTAGCTTTAGCCGCAGAAGAAGAAGAAGAAGAAGAAGAAGAAGAAGAAGAGATGAGTTGATGGAGAAGTGCTTTGTTCTCTTGGTTAAGAAGCGCAGCCTTCTTCCTCAGCCTCTCATTCTCTGCCATTATGTAACAGTTCTCCATATACAGCTTTCTGTTTATCCTTTCCATTTCTTCTCCCCTTATTTATATATATACAATATTTCTACATATATATATATATATATATATATATATATATATAACTATTCACTAATCATATATATGCGGAAAGATAGAGAATTGAAGTAAATGCATCAAGCCCAGAACAACATTAATTATATTGTGGGAAGGTTTACAAAGAGATGGCAATGAAGCTAGTGTGTGTCTGTGTGTACACATATATATAGTTATATATACATACATATATGCATATGCAGAGACACAGTCGTCATGATTATATGGGGACAAAGAGATGGAATATAAGCATCTCCAAATCTGCACTCATCCGTTGTCTGCTTTGTGTTTTACTAGCCATGAAGACAGGAATAATAATAATTAAAGTCCATAGCAATTAAGACCAATGTCTCGGTTTTCATTAAAAGTATTTAAAATTTCACTTTATTGTTTTAGTATTATTTTTGAGTTGCGAAGAAAATTCGTAATTATTACTTGAGAGTGTGCTTGATAAAGCTTATTAAGAAGGTCAATAGGTCACTTTCTTGGAAAATCAAATTTGTAATTTTATGGTTACCAAATTAACACTCTGATGATCAACTTAGTTGGGGTTTTTAGTACAATTTTATTGTATTGTAACTTGTAAGGTGTAACCATAAATTACAACAATCTCATCAATTATATTCGGTTATTAAGGGTGTGTTCGGTTCATGGGTTTACACACTAAGAATAGGAATAGGAATCAAAATCATAGTTATTGTTTGGTTGACAATTTTTTATAACACAGTTCTATTGGATTTTTTAATTTATTTTTTGAGGAAAACTCTATTGGATTTGATTACCCATTCAATTAAGAACCACATTCCCTAATTAAAAGGGAATATCAATCAATATTATATTGGTAATTTGATTTTTAAGTTTGGATTAGTGTTTTTAAATTTTTGCTTTGATTTTTTGTTCATATTGGTGTTTTGGATGTCATTATATTATGATCAATTGCTTGATTTTTTATTTTTATATTTTTAAAACTTTTATTCCTATTATAGGGTCATACATAACCAAACATCAATATTGGTAATGATTCCAATTCTACCTTACCACTAAACATGCAAAATATTTTCACCAAAACTCATTACCATTACCCAGTATTTTTTTTTTGGTAAGAGAGAGGGACTCAAGAGTCCCAGAAAGGATTAGTAGATTCTTCTTATTGCAACGCCTTGAGCGTCACTATCCAGAATGGATTGTATCTCCTCCGGCGGGAGAGTGAGGATCGTTGTCCCCCAGCTGCTGTTTTGACCCAAGTTTGTCAGTGCATCAGCACACCAATTGCCTTCACGAAGCGTGTGGGTGATGAGGCAACGTTCAAACATCCTCATGAAGGCTTTGCAGTCTCCAATTTGATCTATTCTTATTTTGATTCCGATTTTCATGTGCGAATAAAACACACCCTAAGATTGGAATTTGTGAAATAACATTAATTACGACATAAATTAATGATACAAAATGTGGATGTCCCCATTTCGCAATCTTCGATCTGCGATTATGATCCTTCTTATGTTTTGGGAGATGAATGGCGTCAGGTAAATGATTGGGCATGACGACAACCTGAACCAAGGGCATTTTTGAAATTACATATTGTTAGCTTGTTACTTTTTTTTTTTTTTTTTTTTTTTTTTTTTTTTTTTTTATACCAATGAAATATACTTTAATCTTGAAGTCTTGTCTTCTTGATATTGATTTTGAATCACCAAAGACCACTAACATTTACAAATTCAAATACCATCGAGAATAAATATGTTGAAATGAAATAGTTTTAGCTTCATTATTATTTGATGGGATCAGATATGTTAAGGAGAGGGGTTAAACATGAAGGCCGATCCATACAAAGAATGTAAGTTGAGAAATGGATGGTATGCTAAAGACTGAAGTTGCACAAATTATATGGTGGACTAAGGTTCAAGGAACACTAGTTTAAATTATATATGTACATACAATTAATATAAATTATGTACCGGTAAATAAACTAAATGCACATAATATGTTAACAATAACATGTACATAATATGTTAATTGTAGCTAGACAAATAATTTGGACATGATTCACAATGCATATGATGGACCTCGGTCCAAGATATAATAAGTGCTGAAGTTGGATAAATTATATTATGAACTATGGTCCATTATTATAATTGATAAGTGCCAAAGATATATCATATTCTAGGGGTCAAATCGAAGTTGTTTTGTGCTTAATTAATGTATTCTTCCAAAAGGCTGAACGGAAATAAGGCGCTAAACTATCTTCTCTAAGGCCGTGTACTGGGTGGTGCTGTGCACGTTCTTCTTCTCGGACCAGCACAGAGCTCACCGCCTCGCGGCCAAGTATAAATATAGAGGTTCACCCGCCTAGGGGGTGGACAATACGGGAGGCACAATTCATCGAACCTGAACATGAACCACAGAGGCTAGACCAGTGCTCACTGCGCACAAAGAGAGCCCCCCTCACTTTGAGAGGTTGCTCCCACACTGTCGCTGGTGAGACTCGATCCCTGGTCATTCTTTCAAAATTTCACCTCTATGACCAATTGAGCTACCCATGCGGGCGCTTAATTAATGTATGTTGTGCTTTGTTGATGTGTTAATTGGTTTTAAATTGTATAATTGCGGCACATGGACTTATAGTGTTTGCGTTTTGTGTGTTTGTAGGATTTTGGGGCTGAATTGCAAACATTTATACAAGATTTGAGCTCAATTGGGAGATTTCCTACAGAAGATACTTGCACGACAACTGTCACGCACGTGCAAACTAGAGAAGAGAGATTGGCAGAAAGTTTCATGTCTGCTTGCGCACTAGCGTGAGAGTTAGAGCTATGAAATTTCCAGAAAGTTGCACGGACAGATCCACAAGCGTGCAAGTGCTCGTGGAAAGGATATACGAAGGATCTCATGGGCGTGCAAGGGACCGCGATTTTCCAAGGCAAGATGCACGAGCACTGTCACGAGCGTGCAGGGGCTCATGCAGGCGAAGGCGTGAAGTATTTAAGGAAGTTAAAGAGTTGACCTTATAACTTTAGACTTAGATTTCACTTTTCACTTCTAGCTGCAAGTTTGGATTGTACTTGAATTCTAGAGAGAGAAAGTTTCAAGGTTTCAAGCAAATTGACAACTTGACTTGGATCTTGGAGCTCAACTCTTGATCAATTGAAGAAATTTGATTGTTGATTGCAATTTGTGATTGAGCTAAGTTCTCTCCTGCATTTTCTAATTCTTTTCCTCTATTATTCCATTGCATCTCGCTCAATTGTGATTGTGATCAATTAAGATCAGGTGTGGCTAGAATCTTTTAGGCAATTGGATTGGGACTTACTTGCTATGATGCTTGTATGATCATAATTGCAATTAGCAAGTATATATGTGTTGATTGATTTGGATTCATGATGAAAGTGTGTTGGTCCCGATAGGGTCGAAAGAGAGTCTAGAGAGGGGGGGCCGGGGGGGGGGGGGGGGTGAATAGACTCTAATCGATTTTCAAAGATGCTCCTTTCGGAGTAATGCACAGCGGAATGGAGGTTTCGTCTTAGACCTTGCTTTGCACACTTTCATTAGAAACTTTTTGCGTTTGGTCGATATGATATGCAATGCACGAAAGCAATAAAGCAGTAATTAAAGAGATATGGAGAGAGAGATTTTATAGTGGTTTGACTGTTAACGAAGCCTACTCCACTCTTCTTTCACAACTCGTGAAAGGGTTTGCACTATCACTGTACTCCTAGTACAAACTACTTCAAGCTGGCTTCCTTGATCACTAAGCTGGATAGCCACTTGATAGACTTTTCAACTCCTCGAGTTTACTCCGCCCCTATCAACTTCTTCCTAAGAGTTGAGTTGTTGGAAAGATAATCTGGTGTTTCTCCAACAGGTTGAAGCCTTGTCTTGATATCTGGATGAATCTTCACTTGAAAAATATGCAAGACTTCTTCGAAATGTGAAGTGTGGAAAATGGATGTGCCTTTTTTTTAAAAAAAAACTTCACAAAATCATTGGTTATGAAAAACTTTTAGGGATGAAACTGTTTGAAGAGCTTTTCTTTGGATAACAAGAGTAGAATAACCAGCCCCTTCTTCAACGGTGAAGAGAGGTATTTATAGGTGGAGAAATTCATCTGTTGGAGGGAGATGAAGATTTCAAACCTAATATCCAGTGTGTATTAACCAGTGGGCACCAAACATTTAATGCACTTGTATTGTGTAGCCGTTGGAGGCAAAAGTATTATGGCTTTTGTCCTTGTTCTCTGACAGGATGGTACAAGTCTTTTAATGCTCCTTTCTTTTGTGAAAATCATTCTTAGGACACCTTTTGTCCGAATGAATTGCCCATCTTGAGTCATAGACAACATTCTCATTGCTTCACTAAATGAATGTTGTCTTTACAAGTCTGTCTTGACTTGTTTGCTCAGAGATGTTCGTCGAAAGATTGACCTTATCTTTCGACCTTTTTCTTTGACGAGAGATCCTCTTTGTCAAATGATGGTTCATCCGAAAGATCGTCCTTACATCTTTCGTCTTAAGCGATCTTTCGTCCTTCTTCCTATCTTCATGTCTTCAAGTAGATCTATTTTGCTAAGCTCAACAAGATTCATACAACTTTCGATTGTAATATAAATCCTATCTATAAAAAAGAAAAATAGGGGTCTAAAATCTTAGTGAGTTTGGTATCATCAAAATCTAATTACACTTGTTTCTAACAAAGTGGATTTTTGTATGGACTCCTATGTGGTTAAGACCCAACCATGTAAAAGGACTAAGAGTAGTATAGTTGCTAAGGAATTAGGACTATACTAGAACCTCCATCTACTTGCATTCTCCACATACTAGGAGGAAGCTCGGGAGAATATGTACGCAAGGTGTTTGATAAAATGACTCAAGCTAGTAGCGTTGTCACTCGGGTAAAATTCTACTACTTGATAGACCAAGGAAACCAGTATAGGCATTTGCAATGGCAAACATCTTCCTTGAATCCTAATTTGACACATATTGCACTTCTTACCTAGGGCACTACATAGCACTTAAGCAAGGAAAGATTAATCTAAGTCCCGCGTTTCTTTCATTTGATTCCTTAGTTAATTGATTTGTTCACTTGCTCTCTATTTCAATTGTTGTTTGTTATACTTGCGATGCACCATGTCTTTTGTACACACTTGTACCTATCTCTTGTAGTTTCTTGTTCATTTGTGCTCAACCACACACCATCAAACTCCAAATTTGTCATCCTTAAGATACGACACACCGAGGGATCTTCATTCCATATCTTGCTTTCCATCCATCGAATAATACACACTTGTCCATATTGTAGGTGTATCAAATAAATATGCAATTGTTATATGGTGGACCATGGTCCACACAGCTATGTGGACAATGGTTCAAAAACGTCGTCGTTTTGGTAAGTACAAATAAACGGAAACGACGGTCGTTACAAATTAAATCTCGTATTTATGATGTGCTCAAAATCAAATGAAACTATATTATATCTAAAATGAAACTGAATAACATGTCTCATATATTGAGTATACTGTGAAATGAAACTATAGTTGAATTAGAATGACACTTTAGTTGTGATGTAATAGAACTATAGTGTATCTAAAATGAGATTGAGTAACATGTCTCATATATTGTGCGTACATTGTCAAATGAAACACTAATGGGATATAATTAAAACGATACTTTAGTTGTATTGTAATGAAAATGAAACTACAGTGTGTATAAAATGAAACTGAATACAGACCACAATTTGATTGTATATTGTCAAATGAAACTGTAGTTAAATCAAAATGATACTTTAATTGTGCTATAATGAAACTACAATGTACGTATATAATATGAAACTAAATACACCATAAAAAATAATTAGTTGGACGGAACAGCCGAATGAGTGTCATTTCTTTTCATTAAAAGAAACGACATCGTTTTGAACCATGATCCACAGTAAAAATTGCCTCAAATATGAGTTCAAGACTTCAAGTTCATTATAACAATAGTGTAAGTTAATTAAAATAGCATCAGTAATTCGTCAATCATTACTTAAACATATTACTCTTTATTTTTGAATAAATAAAATCAATGTTAAAAAAGATACTGTTAAAAGTATCTCATTGATATCTTTTAAATAACACTCATACTAATATATGTTTCCAGCATATCGTTACAATAATTGTGTGATAAAGTTTTTTTTTTTTTTTTTTTTTTTTGAAACAAGAGGAAATCATTCATTAATAATGTAAAAATCTCGAAATACACGTCGGTGGGGGTATCAAACCACACCCTTGTGTCAGCTGTAGAATGAGTTGCCCGGGCTAATTCGTGGGCTACACAATTTGCTGAACGATTAACATGGGATACCGTGACGTTCCCGATGTCATTAGCAATTGCCATGCATTGCTTTACAATAAGACCTACATACGAATAATCAGAAATACATTTATTAAACGCATTGCAAAAATTAAGGCAATCTGATTCAAGAATAATGTTCCTGATTCTTTGGGTTTTCAACCAAGACAATGCTTCTCGAGCCGCCAATGTCTCGGCCACATACGGGTCCTTCTCGCCCACAAGACGTCCGCACCGAGCTGCTATAAAATGGCCTTCGTGGTCCCGGAGAACGGCCCCATAGTAAGCATCTCCCCCTCGCAACGCCGCGTCAGTATTGCATTTAACCGTGCCTTGTGGTGGTGGAGTCCAATTATCAGTCGCATGTCGTGTTCTCGGTCTTCGGCTATCCGGACGAGTATATCCTTCTTTCCAGATGATCTTCAACCGGTCACGCATCTGCCGAGTTGCATTAATATCAGGCACCTTATTGTCCCAAACCAAATTGTTTCGTGCGAATCAAATGGACTAAAAAATCGCTGCTAATGTTGCCGCCTCATCTACCGTTGAGTGTCCAATTTGTGCATCCATCATCTCAAAAACGTTACGGCCGTTTAACACATCCGTAGATTCCCATATTTCCTGTGCAAACGCGCAACCCCCAAACAAATGTTCAATAGTTTCCGAAACGAAACCACATATCAGGCAGCCACCTCCAATCCATACATGTTTGGTTCGAAGGTTATCCCGTACGGGCAGTATGTTACGTGCACAACGCCATAAAAAGTTCTTGACTTTTGGCGGTATAGGCAGTGTCCAAAGTGCGTCCCAGGCATGAAAATCGGACATACAAGCTTGATGAGATGTCATTTCTCGAAGCAATTGGTAATCGTGTTTAACAGTGTATTTGCCCTGGATATCCCCCACCCAACGCCAACAGTCTCGGTACTGAGTATGAACAGGGGTTGCTAGAATTCTTACCACATCAGCTGGAAGGAAAAGATCACGGATGATATCCTCGTCCCATTGGTCCCTGGCGTCAAGCAGCCCATGTACCCTGGCCTCCCGTAGCTCATCCACACACGGAGTCACAAGAGCCAAATCGGTTTGTCCCGCAAGCCAATTCCAGCCCCATATCTTTGTGTCACGTCCGTCACCAATTCGACGTGCCACGCCCAATTTGAGTACTTGTTGGCCGGCCAAGATGCTTCGCCATATATAGCTTGGGTTCGTACCTATGTAAGCCTCTAAAACTCCGTCTTCGGGAAGTATTTGGCCTTTAAGACCTGAGCCACCAGTGTGTCCGGGAAAGCCATTATACACCAGCCTTGCTTGGCCAACATGGCCAGATTAAAGTCATGTAGTTTCTTAAAGCCGAGTCCACCTTTCTTCTTTGGTTCACAAAGTCTATCCCAGCTTAGCCAGTGGATCCCTCGTTTTCCTGCCTCCCCGCCACCCCACCAATATCGGTTAAACATCTTCTCTAAAGTGTCGCAGGTCCGCATAGGTAATAAGAAAACTGACATGGTAAATATTGGGAGGGATTGAGCAATGCTCTTCAACAGAATTTCTTTACCTGCACGCGATAAAAGTCGATGCTGCCATAACCCAATTCTTGCACGGACCTTCTCCTCAATGTAACGGAATATAGCAATTTTATTTCGGCCCAAGACTGACGGAAGACCCAAATAACGCCCAAGATCCTTAGCCTCGTGCACCCCAATCAAATCGGTCACAATATTTCGGGAAAAAGCTATCGTATTACAGGTGAAAACAGCACTAGATTTGTCATAATTGATTAGCTGACCGGATGCCGAACTATACACATCAAGACATTCTTTAATAGTTTTTGCTTCATGTTCGTTTGCTCTGAAAAAAAGGAGACTGTCGTCAGCAAAAAATAAGTGATTGATGGTCGGAGCACCCCGAGCCACCCTCACCCCATGTACATCCCCTCGTGCTTCTGCCTGTTGTAGAAGGATGGATAATCCCTCCGCACAAATTATGAACAGGTACGGAGATAACGGATCTCCTTGGCGGATGCCTCTAGTGGGTTTAATCAGACCCGCTGCCTCCCCATTAACTAAAATAGTATATTTCACAGTTGTAACACATAACATGAGAAGATCCACCCACCCATTATCAAAACCCATAACCCGAACCATTCCCTCCAGGAAGGCCCATTCCATCCGGTCATACGCCTTGGCCATATCTAATTTCAACGCGGCCCACCCCTGTAAGCCACCCGTTTTCCTACGCAAAAAATGCCCAACTTCCCCGGCCAAAATTATATTGTCTGTGAGCAACCGATCCGGCACAAAAGCACTTTGTGTTTGTGACACAACATGGTCTAATGTCACTTTCATTCTGTTGGCCAACATTTTTGCTAGGATTTTATAGACCACATTGCAAAGCGCGATCGGTCTAAGATCTGAGACTTTTTCTGGGACTGGTTTCTTCGGGATTAGAACAATGTGTGAGTCGTTAAACCCGGGTGGGAACTGCTTCTGTTCCACACATTGGATAAGGAACAGAGTTAAATCATGGCCGATTACCGGCCAAAAATGTTGGAAGAATGCCGGTGACATTCCGTCTGGCCCAGGTGATTTGTCCGGGGCCATATCAAAAACTGCTATTTTTACATCCGTAATTGTAAAGGGGAGTGACATGGACACATTCATCTCAGCAGTCACTCTTGCCCGAACGCGATCAAAGATGGATGCAGTACAAGTGTTGGCGCCAAAAATATCATTAAAATACCTGATTATTTCAGCCTGCATTCCCGGTCCTTCTGCCCAATCACCAGAGTGGTCTTTAATATGCAGCAGTGTATTATTACGTCGGCGAGCAGTGGCCGTGCGGTGGAAGAATTTGGTATTCGAATCCCCTTGTTTGAGCCAGAGTTGCTTGGATCGTTGCTTCCAAAAGACTTCTTCGGCTTTCAACAGCCCCTCAAGCTCAAACTCTGCCGCACCAAACTGTTCAACTGCGTGGGGATCGCGATCCTCCTTTAATTGGTGTAGAATACGTCGTAACGTTTTGATACGAGCACCAAAACGACGGTGGTACTCACCGCCCCATTTCCATAGTCTCTCCCCGCATCTAACAAGTCGATCCTGGAAGTTTAAATCTCGGGAACACTGCCACGCTTCCTCCACGACCTTCGCACAGCCCTCTTCAAGTAACCACGCATTCTCAAAACGGAATTTGCGCATAGCTACTCGTTCAGGGCCCTTCCGTACGTCTACTAGAAGAGCACAATGGTCAGAGGAATTGGTATAAATGTTTTTGACCTGTACAGTGTCGTGAATCTCCATCCAGTCCATGGTTGCCACGGCCCTATCTAAACGCTCTTCTACCCAGTCCTCTGTCCCTCGGCCTTTCTCCCACGTAAACTTCGCTCCAGTCATGCCCAGGTCTACTAGGTCGCAGTCGCATAGTGCATCATTGAAACCTTCTATTAGCGCCGAAGGGTGAGAGTGGATTCCCCTTTTTTCTGATAAACAAGCTATGTCATTAAAGTCTCCCGCGACAACCCAAGGCAGATCGGATTTGGCCTTGAGTTGCCGAAGGAGATCCCATGTCACTTGTCACTGTGTTCTGTCTGCTTCGCCGTAAAACCCAGTTAGTCGCCACATTGGTTGCCCTGGTATGGAAATCTCCATGTCAATGTGATTGTTGGAGTAACTCATTAGAGATGCAGTGCTAGTAATTCTCCAGAAGAAAGCCAAACCTCCCCCGAATCCCGTTCGTTCCACACAAACCTTGCTATCAAAACCCAATTTTATTCTTAATGTTTCCATCTGAACTTCAGTTGCTTTTGTCTCTATTAAAAAGAAAAATTCGGGACGCTCCTTGGACACAATGCCCAAGAGTTCGCGAACTGTCCGGGTGCCACCCGTACCCCGACAGTTCCAGCACAGTAGACTCATTGTTCCCTGCGAGCCTGGCCGTCTAGACTCACCGTTTCCTTCTGTTTAAGCGTATCAGTCATCAGCACATCGATATCACTCTTTGTTCCGACTGCCTCATCCTCTTCACGTCGGCGTTTCAGATCTCCTTGGAGCCCCGCAGTATTTTCCATCGCCACAATCATGGCCGGTGGCGGGCCGGCTGCCAGAGTATTCATCGTGGGCTCAGCCGGAGTCGATGATGATAGGAGCCACTTAGCCCCGACTGGTTTCACCTGCCTCCGCGGACCTGCGCGCATCCAAGTACCGAAGGGAAAAGCCTCCGGCAATATGCCTTCCTCGTAGACTGTTTTGCAAAATTTGTCTGAGTGTCCCATAACCCCACAGCAGTAGCAGAAAGTACCGAGGCGTTCGTATTTGAACGTAATCCATTGTGAGGAGCCGTCCCTTCGCAATAATTTCATCCGGCGTTTAAGAGGCGTTGTCATGGTCATGCGCACCCGGATTCTGTAATGGCTCTTCCAATTACCCCCGAAATTATGTGGATCCGCCACAACATAAGAGCCCACATAATCTCCTATTTTTGCTAAAAATTCCTGCGATGCGAACATCGACGGTAGCCCGTGTATTTGAACCCAGTACAGAGCCGAATTCAATTCGATTTCCTCTGGTCGGATCCCTGGCGGAACCGGTTCACAGAGCAGTAGATAATTGTCGAATGACCATGGTCCATCGTCGATCACCCTCTGCAGGTCCCTCGGGTGAGGGAATTGAAATAAGAACAAATCATCCGCTAGAGGAATGTCGAACATACCCATCACTGGGCGCCACACCGAAGCCATTGTGTGTTGCATGTGGTCGAACCGGATCGGGCGATTAGTTAGAAATCGGCCGATCAGATTGTTCTGGATCGTTTCATCCGGCATCGTCTGCGATTCCGGGGCTTCCAGGCCGCCCGCTTCCTCCGTCGCGAGCGACAGATCAGCGCATTGTCTTTCTAACTGGTTGATATCCATCAGAGCGTTGTGTGATTTTGACGGGAAAAGGAGTATGAGTATGAGTATCCAACACAGAAGTATCGATGAAATCGTCATGAGCAACAACAGATTAAATACCCTAGAAAATCAGGGAGATCACTCTCTCACGACGGAGAGAGAGGGCCACGATTGAAAACGTGATCGGAATCACGATCGGAGAAGACCTAAGAATGCGGAGCAATTACTGACGTTAATAGGTAATACAACTTTGATTTGTGTGATAAAGTTATTACTTAAACATACAACTTTTTGTTGCGAGTTATGGTTAATTATTTATATGTATTTTTTTATATTTGTAAATTTTTTAATTTGTATCTAACTATAATACATACATATTGAACCATGGTTGTATTTCATTTTTTAAAAACATTATCTAACTTTTAAAAATAATTTTGACATTATTATTACTACTATATAGAAATTTATCCCTACATAAATGATGTTTATATACAAAGTTTGAAAATGTGAAAGGTAATATATAATTATTATGATTTTAGCATTCTACTAATGACAAACTTTAAGTATTATTTGATTCATTTAAAAAATTTGTAGTACAAAAGGTGTAACCAAATAGTATAAATTACGATAAATTATAAAATTTTGCAAATCTGAAGTAATAGATGTTATTTAAATATTACTAACCTCAAAAAATTGATTTACGTTAATAACGAAATTAAAGAAAAACTAACTGAACTATCTTACACTAGTGGAGTTTGAACAAATCCAATGTTATTGGGTGAATGTCTCACATTTAAATATAATGTTATTAAATTTTTTTTTTTTGAAAGTTACTGGCTCTATTACATTGTAGTATCTGTTCATATACTTTCTCAATCTACTGAAACACAAAGAACCAATAACGCCTCCACTGAGGCTTGAACTCATAATCTTCCAAATGGAAGTCCAACCCAGGTACCATTAGACCACATAGTCCTGATAATGTTATTAAATTAAATGAATTAAAACTCACATATTTAAGAAGAATGTCTCATATAGTCATATCTAGAACTATGAATTTAAATGAAGAAGATATATATAATAATAGATTCAGAAGAAATAAAATTTCAACAAATTAGTTAAAACTTATATTAGATCAGATTCACAAATCTTGAACCATAAAGTCTAATATGAACTTACCAACTTACTATCTAAATGATGTCTTAATGTGGTTTTGACTTTTGATTATGCTATATTTACGTGGCGTTTGGTTCAAAAAATAAAAATAAAAAAAATATAATAGAATTTCAACATGGATGTAATTGAATAATAAATGAATAGAAATAGGAGATTGCTTGGTTCATAAGGAAATGAATACACATGGGATTACACGGTGAATCATGCATATTCGTGTGTTGGTTGGACAATAGAATGGAAAATAAATACAATATCACTTAAATAACCAACATATTGTCGAGTACCTTATGCTCAAATGATATGTAATGTAATTTTTTATGTGTGAAGTTATGAAAGCATATTTAAACAAATAGTAATATAATAGTATCACTAACATTCAAAGAAAAAACCCTATTCAAAATAAAACACTCACCCACAGTATATATACAAGTAATAATTAAACTTTGTTGACTTTTTTGAATTCGATCATCCACTTGAACCTTCTTGCAGAATGTGATCTGATCTCAATCTATTTAATTATCAATTTTATAAGCCAATAAGCCATCATCATTTCTTAAAAAAAAAAAAAAAAAAAAATTACATATTGACTTTGAGGGTAACGTGTTACTCAACATCAATTTATCCAAACGGCTTCTGGCCTGGGATTTAAACTGCATTCTAATTGGCTGTCATTGCCACCGTCCATGCGACCATGCCCCCAATAACAATCTCTTTATATATCCACAGAATATTCTACTTTTAATTAATACAAATTCTTAATTAACTAATATATATATATAATCCCAAAAATTCTTTGTTGCTCTTCTAGTTTAAAAATGATTAAGACGTAAGTAACAAGTACTGATCCCTACGTCCACATCAATGAAGATCAATTTCAAGCTATTTTTTAAACCCCCAAAAAAAAAGAAAAACAAAAAAAAAACATCTTTTTGTGATCATGTGGTCATTGCTGTAAGCATATCCAAGAAATTGATGCCATGGAATTTCTTCACGCCACTTCCATCATATCTCAATGGTCAATGCTGTATTATTTTTCTTATTTTTAGTTTGAACTTAACACCATATATATAAACGTTACTTTCCTAGTTATATGGAACAAAAAAAGCTGAGCCTTAGCTTCCAAAATGGAGAAATGGCTGTCACCTGCCGTTCTCTTCTTCCCCATCTTGTTAACCGGTTTTCTTTTACAATATTCCGATGCATCGCCGCCGGAATATTCCCGCCCGCATCCTCGGCGGCTCATTTTCACACCTCATGACCGCTCCGAGTCCGACCCTCAGCAGGTGCACATATCGTTGGCGGGGAAAGATCATATGAGGGTTTCATGGGTTACCTCCGATAAACACGGGGAGTCTGTCGTGGAATACGGTAAAGCTCCGGGGAGGTACGATAAGTCGGCGACCGGAGACCGGACCTCGTACCGCTACTTCTTCTATAGCTCAGGAGAAATACACCACGTTACAATCGGACCTTTGGAGCCAAGAACCACGTATTTCTATAGGTGCGGTGGAAGTGGGCCGGAGTTTAGCTTCAGAACCCCGCCGTCGAGTTTTCCAGTTGAATTCGCCGTCGCCGGTGAGTGGTTCCTCTGTCCCGTCCGTTTTATGTATGATAATGCTAATAACTTAATCAGGTTCACTAATATTCAATATTGCAGAAGGCACTAGGCGCTAGTTGTACACTCGGGGACGCTTAGAGCTTAGAGCGTCTAGGCGGTCTAGTAATCCGAATATATGGTCTTCACTTTTCCCCTCATGGTTAGTAATGGTTAGATTGTTATAATCCTCCAAACTAGTTAACTCCATATATATTAGATGGTTAGTTGAGAACCTAGAACACGAGTAGCCAATTAAGTAAAAAAAAATAAAAATAAAAAAATTCACTTGACCGAATTGAGCGCCAACTCAGCCGAGTTAGGCACCGACTTGATCGAGTTAGATGCCTGACTCGGTCGAGTTAGGCGCTCAACTCGGCCGAGTCGGCACTTAGGGTGCCTAATCGACTAGTCAGTCAATTAACTAAAAGTCGCCTAAGGCTGAAATCGCCTCAATCTAAGGGCACCTAGCACCTAGTTATCGTCTAGGTCGATTTTTACAACATTGCAAATACTTGGCCACTATTCTATCAGACTAAGGTGTAAGATCTCTTACCTAAGGGCAATGAAATTTAGTCATTTGTGGACAAGTTAACTAATACTTGGTCCTACACCTTTAATTTATTTAATTTATACTGTACCTTTAATTTTTTGTTGCGTGCACTTCTTGATAGAATTTGGTCCCAAATGATCATATCATTGCTCAGATCGGAGTATGATCGTTGAAGAAACAAAACCTATGTTTGAGAAATTTGAACTATTACCTAGCTGCTATAATTTGTACATGTAATTTTGATTTACAAGGGGAATAAACATGAAATTATTTAAAACAATCATATTCTTGTGTTTGTCTTAACAAGGAAATAGTAAATAAATATCATTTAAATAATTAAAATACACATATTCAAAATAAAACACATATAAATATATACATACTCACCCACCATAAAAAAAAAAAAAAAAAAAAAAAAAAAAAAAAAAAAAAAACAAACAAACAAACAAACAAACAAAACAAAACAAAACACAAAATAGAAAACTTAATTTGAATGTACAGGAATAGACTAATGAATATTAATGATTATAGGAAGTACGTGGCCGGTAAGCCAATTAATTTAAAGAGATTGGTAAGAGACTGTTTGTCTTACTATGAGACAGATGGCTGGCTTAGTACCAGGATTTCATATCTGGTTACCCATGATTCATGATTCGATTTAGATCAGATCAAATAGTTTTGTCGGGAGTCACTCACAGAGAAAGCTACCGAAAGGAACTTGTTGAGTTGTTTGGCCCGTACAAGTCCAACATAAAGAATTGTTAAATGGGAGTCATAAACAGCCAAGTTCAGCACTCTAACTTTGTAACTTTCGAAAATGTGCAGTGGAACAGTATAAGAAAATATATAAAATTGAGCATTTGCTACTAGTTATTATTTTAGGTATACTAATATTAGAGGTCACAGATTTGAATATCAGCAAGAATAATTAAGACTGATCGACTAGTGCGAACCAAGTTTAGCACCCCTCACTTTTGAAAATTTGTAGCAATATATAAGAAATATCTAAATACAGTTATACCTTTGCTATTAGCTAAGATGGAATATTACGGAAATGTTTGATTGTAGGAGATCTGGGTCAGACAGAGTGGACAAACTCAACCTTAGAACACGTAGGCGCGGCGGACTACGACGTTTTTTTGCTGCCGGGCGACCTGTCTTACGCCGATACGCAGCAGCCGCTTTGGGACTCTTTCGGCCGCCTGGTGGAGCCCTACGCCAGCTCGCGGCCGTGGATGGTGGCGGAAGGCAACCACGAGATCGAAATTTTTCCCATAATTTACCCCCACGGCTTCAAGGCCTACAACTCCAGGTGGCGAATGCCGTACCAAGAAAGTGGGTCCACGTCCAACCTGTACTACTCCTTCGACGTGGCAGCCATCCACGTCATCATGCTGGGATCTTACGCGGACTTTGACTCCCAATCTGATCAGTACAAGTGGCTCCAAGCTGACTTGGCGAATGTTGATAGGTCCAGGACTCCCTGGATCTTCGTCCTCCTCCACGCGCCATGGTACAACTCCAATTCTGCTCATAAAGGAGAAGGGGAAAGCATGAGGAAATCCATGGAAGAATTGCTGTACAATGCGCGTGTTGATGCAGTCTTTGCTGGTCACGTCCATGCTTACGAACGCTTTGTAAGTACATTTTTTTTTTATAGCTACTCACTCTATTATATTATAGTATCTGTTCATTTATACTTTTCAACCTGTTGAAGTACAAAGAGTTAACACTGCCTGAGGCTCAATCTCATGACCTCCAATATGAGAGAGTCACTACATGTCATCTGAGCACAAGGTGTTTGACAAATTTGTAAGTACATCCTGCATGGGCTTAGCTCACAAGTTCAGTAGACAGTATTTGAAAAAGAGACCAAGGTTCGAACCTTGACAATGGCAGTATGAAGATTATGTCCAAAGTAGACAGATCTCTCTTGTGCGTACTGACATTTAACCTTGTTTGTTGAGCCATCCAGCATTGAATCACAATTATTCAAATCCAAATTAAGATTTCTTTTTCTAATGGTTTATGATATTTGTGATCTCAGACTAGAGTTTTCAACAATGAAGCTGATCCGTGCGGTCCTGTATACGTGACCATTGGTGATGGAGGAAACAGAGAAGGCCTCGCAATGACGTTAGTATCAAATATCAATGAACAATTTCACTATCAGGATAAACTTTTGATTATTAAAAAAAAACACATATAACATTAATGGATGGGACATATATTTTGTAGGTTTGAGAGTCCAAGTCCGCCAATATCGGTGTTCCGGGAGCCAAGTTTTGGGCACGGTCGACTGAAAGTGTACAACCAAACGCATGCACATTGGTCGTGGCATCGGAACGACGACGATAACGCCGTCAAGGCGGATGAAGTGTGGATTCAAAGCTTAAGCTCGTCTAAATCATGCTTCCCGGGAGCTATGCTAGGCAACTTCGTAAAAGATGAACTCTAGATCAGATATATTAACTGAAGAAGCAAAACTCTCAAGGTATAGGAAAAATTTATTTGTCACTTAGGGTCAATTTGTGGGTTTCATCTAAAGTACATTTTCGGATAGCAGATGAGCACTTCCTTGTAATCAAAAGAATAATTTATTTGTAAAATACAATTTATCAAATTATTTATGTTTACTCAAAATTTTCATTTTTAATGTATATGTTTAAAAATTCTTCATGCCCTACATAAAATCATCAAATTTCTTTCTAATCAAAACAATCGTGTTATTAAAACTAGTATTCTCACCACGGAATGAAATTGTTGTAATATATTAAGAATATTTAAATCGATATATAATTATTTAAAAATTAATTTCACCAGAGGTCGCTTATCTTTCCATTGTCTTTATTATATATTAAGACTATAGTTATTAATTATTACGATTTATTCTATGTTATAATTCTTACGTTAATATTCTTACTATTATTATTAACACTTAATTACTTTTAGATATTATTATTACCATTTATATTATTATTATTATATTATTATTATTAGTTTCTTTTCAAGTACTGTTAGTATATAATGGTCGTGAGGTACAATAATAATATAACCATAATTAAATATTCTTGTATTGTATTCCGTGAGTCACAACAATAACATAACAATAATTAAATATTCTTCAATTCTATATTCTTCTATGATTTCTATTACCATCATTAATTATTCCTTAATTTACCATAATTAAATAATTTAACCAATTATAAAGAAAGATTATTAAATAATGCACGGGAAAATTTTTTAATTAAAAATTTTCAAAATTCATTAATAAAACATAAGGATCTCATAGTTTTTTCTTAGAAATTGATGGGCCAAACCGACTACGGCAGTTTGCGGTGGATAAATCTCGAAAAAATACGCGATTTCAAAAAAATATTTGTCCAAAACGAACAATCGAGTCAAAAGTTATGCATTGCCGAACTTTTGACACTTTACAACTTTAAAAAATATATATATTAAACGCTGGTTCAGTCAGCAAGGCGGCCGCGGAGGAGGCCGATTTCGGCCTTCCTCGCCGCGGCCAGCGCGCGATTTTTGCAACATTGATATATAGTATAGATATAGATTAGAATAGGAATAGTATTACACAATTTTAAAATATTAGAATAGAATTTTAACCTAGAATTATTGTAGAAATCAATATATTTTATTAGGAAGAGAGATTTTTTAGGAATTGGGCGAGAAGTTAAAATTTCAAGATTTTGTTTTTATATTAGTATAGATTGTATTAAACTATTTTATAATATTAGAAAAGAATTTTAACGCAATATTATTGTACGAATGGGAATGTAGAAATCAATATATTTTATTAGGAAGACAGATTTTTTAGGAATTGGCCGGGAAGTTAAAATTTCAGGATTTTGTTTTTATATAGAGTATAGAAGTATAGATTGTATTACACTATTTTATAATATTAGAAAAGAATTTTAACGCAGAATTATTGTACGAATGGGAAAGTAGAAATCAATATATTTTATTAGGAAGAGATATTCTTTAGGAATTGGGCGGGAAGTTAAAATTTCAGGATTTTGTTTTTATATATAGTATAGATTTCGAGGTAAGTCATGAGTGCATATGTATAAAATATAAAGACGTTACACTACAAGAAAAATTACAATTCACGATGGTAAAATTTTGTCGCAAAATGCGATTTGCGACGAAATTTTTTACATTTTTGTGACGGAATCTATTTCATAATCTCAATGGGAATATTTCTTTCTGTTGCCATCGCATGAAAAAATATTCCGTCGCGAAACCCATATTTCGTTGCATATTTCTGTCGTGAAATATAACGATAGAAATAATTATTGTCGTGATTACGTCTCTAATCTTTTCGTTGCAAATTTGTATTCTACCATAATAAAACGACAGAACAAATTGTTGTCGCAACTGCATCGCTAAAGTTTTCGTTGCAAATTTCGCATTCCGTCGCAAAATTTCTTCATAAGAAAACGACCGAACAAATTTCCGTAGTGATTTCATCGCTAGATATTCCGTTGCAAAGTTTGTTTTCCGTCACAAAATTTCGTCATTAAAAAATAACAGAACTAAACACTGTCGTGATCCCGTCACGTTTTGCGCGACAAAACCATTCTGTCACCAATTTCGTCGTCATAATGACAATGATTATTCCATCGCTAAAATTATACTTCATCGCGATTCTGCTAAATTATTTATTAAAAAATATTTTGGTAATTCTTATTATTTTGTTAAATTTTTAATATTTATATCTAAAATGTTAATATGTAAACTAAAATACAATATATATATAATTTGTAATATAAAAGTGATACTACTTTGTAGTTCAAAAAATTAAATGTTGTACTTAATACCAAATGTATGTCTAAACAACAATATAGTAATCCATAAAAGAAAAATCAATATCAAGTTGAATTCGGTTATGATGAGGCTGATGATGAAGTACCAGCTTCCTCACTCTCAAGAGCATCTAATCTTTTCTACATAAGAACTATTGAAGCCTTCAAATTCTCAATCTCATATTGCATTTTTGTAGAATTAGCATTGTCTGATGGCTACGAGGTTGATGTTATATTGTCTTATGTGTTAGCATTTATTGAAACATGAATGAAAGTATCATATGAGTCAATTCCATAAACTCTTATTTTCTTATCATGCCCGCCAACTGCATCATAGTACAATTGATTCTCATCTACTTCCTCTCCATGTTGTGTTAGTAGCTCTTGCAAAACTTAAAAAAATTAGTACAATTTTTTTTTTATCAAAATTCATATATATATATATATATATATATATATATATATATATATATATATATATATATATATATATATATATATATATATATATATATATATATATATATATATATATATATATATATATGATCATATATGAGAACACTTGCTTAGGTGAGAACGTGGGAACAAATCGTGTGCATCTAAAAATATTTTTTAATGGTCTAAATTAGATTAAGTGTGTGCGAACGCGAATTAAATGTGTGCAAATGCGATTAAGTGCATTTGCACACATTTAATTCGCATTCGCATTGAGCCTGTGCTCGGGCCAAGGCGCCTAGGCCATATGAGCTCGGCCATAATGGGCTAGGCCATGCATGGTGAGCTCGGCCACATGAGCTCGGCCCTATGAGCTTGGTCATAGTGAGCTCGGCACGGCTGACCCGCGGACCTAGTCTCGACCCGGACGTGACCAAAACGGGAGATGCAATCACCCCCGGTTTAGGTGGGGCGTTTGAGGGGTTTGTCTTGTATAAAATCCGCTCAGATCACTTTGTCTCATTAAGACATGTTCAATCTATTCTAGCTACTTTGTTCTAACAAATCGTTGTAAGAGCCTGCCTATTATTATAATACAATATACGGTCTCTGCGACCTTACGGCATCGTTTCATCTATTTACTATTTACGTTCTTAATCAGATTTATTATATAATGTCTAGGATTTGATAGCATTATATTTTAGTTTTCTTATCAGTTGTATGTGCAAGGGTAGTCCTATAATTAGTTTGTGCAATTAAAAGTGGTAATATATTATTTTTGGGGATTTTACATGATTTTAGGGAGTGTTTATGCATTTCTCTTAAAGTTGTTCTGGTTGCAAACTGTGCACATTTTGATCAACATCTATGCATCATTGTGTGTTTTGGTTTGCAATTACATGATATTTACGTGCACTGATGTAATCTACGTGTTTTGTAGTGGACTGTGTTGTGTTTGTGACTTACAGTGTATAGGTAGTCAATTTTGGGATGTTACTATTATAACATATAACTCCAATATATAATGTGTATATATTATTATTTTTTGAAAACAATGTGTATATATTATTAATATTGAAGAAGATAAGAAAATATTTGGTAAATGCATTTGCATAGTAACAACCATGGAAAAGATAACGGAAATTATAGCGGCAGGGGTTATGTTTGTCCAAAATATTGTATAGTACAACTTTTATAGCATAACATATCAAAAAACTAATGAAAAAAATTGACATAAATAAAGGGTTTAACTTTCATTCAAACTTATTATATTTTTTGATTAGATTTAAATTTTAGATTAGATAATATCTGCCTATCTTATTAAGTAATTTGCTGGGAGATCAGAAAAATCCATCAATATAATAATTTATAGCGCAGAATACGTGTCGCGAATTATATATTAAATAATATAACATTTGACCGTATCATTTGTAAAACTCATAATAAACTACCATATATCTAACTTATTGGCTTACGCCCTTGAACTTATCCCTTTAGGTGCATAATCTTAATCTATATTGAGCTTCGTAATCTTCGATATTAAATACTGTTATAAGTAAGTACATCAAATTTTAATAATATTCTAAATAGCTACATTGAACCGCGTGTTTAATGCTTCATCAATTTCGAGGACTCCGCTTTTAGTATAAATATGCGCGTTTTGACTAGTTTTTCATGCTTCTTCTGGATTACACGCACACCTCCAAATTTGATCATTTATCACACAAGTTAAAAACATAATTTATTTGAGTTAATACCCAAAATCATTCTTGACTATAGTGATTTTTCTCAATTTCGTCCTAAACGACTTTGGTGATCTAATATCATTTCAGAATTTTGTGTTTCGCTCAATTTAGTCTTAGACTTTTGTGTTTTTGTTCAATTTAGTCCCTCATTTATTATTTTGTCTATTTGGTATTAAATAAATAGATAATTTCGTAATTTTAATATTGACATCTCTTACTCATAGACATGTGAACTGCGAAATCTTTTTTTTTTTTTTTTACGAATTACTCCCAGAATTACTCCTAAAACTGCGAATATAAAATTTGATTTGTAGGTCGGGGAGTAATTCTGGGTGTAATTCGTACAAGAAAGATGAATTTCGCACTTCACAAATTGAAAGTAAAGAGAGATCAATATTGACATTACTGAATTGTCCCTTTATTTAACACCAATTTGACAGAATAATAAATGGAAGACTAAATTGAGCGAAACACAAAAGTCTGGGACGATATTAGGTCACCAAAGTTGTTTAGGACGAAATTGAGAAAAACCACTATAGTCGAGGACGATTTTGAGTATTAACTCTAATTTATTTACAATATAGCGCACGCGTTATTTTCCATCACTTAGTAATTACTATTTGAGATTTTCTTTTAATAAAAAATAACCCGTAGATTGAATAGTATTTTTTGTTTTGACACTTCTTAGCCAGAATTGTATTCTTTTTAAATGATGAAAAACTCTGCTATTATTACTTAAGAATGCGTATTGAGTAAGTTTTATATTGTGATTTTAGTTGATAAAGGAACATAGAAGATAAATCAGGATAAGTTGCGCATAACTAACTGACTCAAATCAACAAGGCGAATAAATTACTCTAGATGTGTGTTGTTTTTGTAACTTCATGATTCTAAGTCAACAACCTGACCAACTTGTTTGACTTGGAATCATGGACTAAAACAATAGCGGTTAAACTAAAGCCAACCAGGTGGCGACGTCTTGGGCTTTCTAAGTGTGTTGCAAAATGATTCTCCCGTGTCCGAGGTCCTCACGTACTCGGTATCACCATTGACGAAGGAAGATTTGGGCCAGGTTGAAGGAGATTGTGCAATCCATGACTGAAGAGTTGAAAATCATGAGAAAAAAAGAAGAAGAAAACCAACAAAAAATTGAAGAGACAAAAATGCATTTGCTTAAGTTAGGGTTTTGCCTAAAAGAAGTTATCGAAAAGACAAAAAAAAATGTCCAAAATATAATAATCTAAGTTGTTAAATGAAAAAATCAATTGTTTGGGACTAAATTTTGAATCGCCACTAAAGACAAGAGATCACTATTGAAATTAATTCATTTGGGAAACAAAAATTAAAGATACAAAAATACACTTACCTATAATAGGATTTCGAAAAAGTATTAATTTCCAAAAATGTCCAAAATATGCATGACTGTCTAGAGTATTAATGATAAAAATAATAGTTTGAGATTAAATTTGAAATTGTCACACAAAACAAGAACCTCCGCTAAGATTATGTCTAAATTTATTAACAACTTCAAAGTAAAGTTTTTATTACTCAAAACTTGACTTTAAAAGTAATCAAAATTGAATGCATCACAAATGAATGAAAGAAAAAAAATGTTTTGTACAAAATCCCACCGCCATCATTATGAATCGCATTGAATTGAAGAAAATACTTCGTATGAAATATTATTTGTGTGAAATTTTGTAGTAGGTCCAATATTGTGGCGTCTAATGAGACTTGTTCATTATTAATATCATATAATTGAGTGTACTATTTATGAAATATCTATGAAGACGTATCAAAATAAAAAACAATGACAGAATATATACATTATACAGAGTATCAAGACAATAATAACATTCAAATTATCAACATCAACATCATATATTCTCTCTCTTTTTTTTTTCTTTTTAATTTTTCTACAAGCCAGGGGTAATAACGGAAGAGAGTAACATATAGGAAAAAAAAAAAAGTTGAAACTAAAAAGGAGGAGGAAATATACATGGCACGCGTGGCTGACGTGTCATTACGCGGAACCAATTTTTTCTTTTTCCTTTTTTCTCCTTTGGGCATTTTGCCGTGACGATTTTGGCAGAATCATCACCGTGGGATTTGCGAGGAAGTCGGAGATTTGAACGGCTGCGATCATATCTTGTGGAGCTTCTGCGCTTTGATCAGAGGGTTGGCCTTGGCGATGGCTTCTCTCCCTAAAGCCTTGTAGTTGAAGGTGCAGGCGTGCATCTCCGGGTACCGGTGGGTCCCGCAGAAAGTGACCCCACACCGACACCTAAACCCCGTCAACCCCACCTTTTTCCGGCAAGTCGAACACCTGTTCGCCGGCAGCTGCACCGCCGCCGCCGCCGTCTCCGCTCTCTTCGTCGACGGCGCCGGCGCCGGCGCCGACGAGCTAGCCGGTAGAGACACCTGCGACGGCGACGGCGACGGCGACATCGAATCCACCGAATTCACGGGTTTCGCATTCCCTTCTTCCTTGAGAAAAACGTCCCGGTAACATTTGGGGCAGTAATTCTGCGTGGCGGGGCTGCCGAAGAAGCCGCAGTTGTTGGCGCACAAGCGGTGCCCCTCCGGCGCCTGGAATCCGTGCTCTTCCGCCATAGCCGATGATGCAAATTAAATCCAAGAAAAAAAAAAAACAGCTTTGATTAATTCCCGATGACGAAGAAACAAAAAGCGTATAAACCCAGAAGCTGAGAGCAAAAAAGATGAGAAATGGGTGAACTATAAAGGGAGAGGTTGAGGGTTGAAAAACCCAAAAAGAATTCAAAAAGAAATGAAACAAGGAAGGAGACAAGAAGGGGCTGCGCAATTCAATATTGATTATGATTGCAATTACATCAACCCAATTTTAATTAAACAAACAAATATCATGGGAGCAGACAGGTAGGAAAGGACACAAAGGAGGATGATTAGCTATTTTAAATTTCATTTTTTAAAATTATTTTTGGGGTTTTGTTTGGGCATGTAAAATGTAAGATATATCCAGGATTTTGTAGGTAGGGGGGTTGAAGGGGGGTATTTGTATGGCTATGAGAGGGCTATTGAGGGTGGCATATGGCCATTGGTGTATCGTGTCCATATATTGTACACTTGTATTTTAAATGCATGTAGCCAAATTTTACATGTATTCTTATATTATTTATTGGTGATGGTGATGGTGATACACAACACACAGATAAATATGGATAGGATGGTGCCATTAATTAATTTGGATATATTGGTTTTGAAATTATAGGTACGGAATGTAAGTTCAAATATTAGACCACGGTACAATGAGTGTTTGGTAAATAGTTGTTAGCTGATTAAGTTAGTGGATATTTGAGTAATTGATAACATTAGCTGATTGTAGAAAGATGTTTGGTAAATTATTTGTTAGCTGATAGCTGATTTTATGACTTTCTCAAAAAGTTAATAAAAAAACTGTTTTGAGTAGCTTTTTGAATTTTAGTATTTTGGAGCAATAAGTTGTTATAAAAAAAAACTAATTAATAAAATATTTATATTGAATGTTTAACTAAGTCAAAAAATTAATAGTGATCAAATAAGTCAAAATTAACTGATAAACTAACTATGTCAAAAAAAAAAAAAAAAAAAACCATATAAGCATTTTTATAGTGAAAGAGCGGTAATTAAATTAATCGACTACCTTTAGCTATTTGTCCAATAATTGACTCAAACTTTTAGGACTAAACAATGTCCACAATGATTAGTTATTGAAGTTTAAGCTAACGTCATTAATTGTGTTCCACCGGCCTATTCATCTTGGGTCGACCTCCCATTAAACCAATAACAACCTGACTGGTTTCTCTTTCAGAAATCAAATATTCTTTTGAGTTTGTTTAACTCCTTATTTGAGTATCCCCATCATTATTTTTTAAACATTTTACTAAAAAATTACTTTATATTTACTTGATTGATTTGTAGTCAAAATATTACTCCATTAGTGTAAGATAGAGGAATTCTCCCAACATAGTTATGAAACGAGCTCTTTCTACAATTATTGATTTTTCAAAATAAAAAAGAGAGAAGAATTTGATAATAAAAAGCAAATTCTTTTAATTTTATCCCACAAAACAAGAGGTGAGGTACAACAACTTATATAATATGTATTTATTTAGAACATGGTGTCATAAAAATTTTCATCTAATAAGAGTTGGTTTAGAAACGTAGAAAATGACTTCTGAAAGTTATTTTTTGGATTTTGTCGTATTTGGGTATGAGAAGTAAAAATAAAATCAAAGAGAAATATTCATTATGGTCAACGAAAAAAGATCAAATTTGGTGCAAAATATCTTCTTACATTTTTAGTTTGGAGACATTTTTTGAATTCTGTATTTTCTTGTCTCTCTCGTCTCTCTTCAAACTAGTTTCCATATTATTATTGCCACCAACACTATCACTTTTTTTTTTGGTATACCCAGAGTTTCCCTGTCCTCTCGCTGGATTGTATAGTAGCCACCTCTTTTGGGTGAGATAATTGGCCTGAAGATTTATATTATTATTATTATTATTGTTATAATAATAATAATAATAATAATAATAATAATAATAATAATAATAATAATACATTATTATGGTGAAGATAAAGCCTAATTGTAATGGACATTCACAAATGATGTGCCAAATAAGATGTGACGTGTTCTAAAATAAATTTGGTAAGTGGGACACGAAGAGTACTGGATTAAATAATTTCGACTTTGAATGATTTATTTAAAATATTTTCTTGTTTAGTAGTTTATATTATGCAAATCTTCTCAGTAATTCTCCAAATCTCTCCGATTCTATCATATGTTTTCTGGCCAATATAGACGAACTTCTTTGCCCAAAAGCTCTCACATCACGATCCAACAGAATTATAAAAATGTATAAATTAGGATAATTTATAGATCCATTAGGTGAGAGAGCATCAATGTTTTATACCCATAAAAAATCACTCAACAAGAGAATGAAATTCTCACACTACAATTGTCCGGACTTGATCATGCATCATTATTCACAATTTATCACCCAAGAATCAAGTGAGTTACCTATACAAATTTGTAAGTAAAACCTTTGCAATTCAACAAAATACATTTTGTAATTTTCATTTCTTTTCTCATTCCGAGAATTATAAATCCATCAGGAAATTTTACAAATAAACATTGACCCATAATTATGCGGTCATGACATTCATCAGCTGGATATCTAAATTTATTATTCTGCCAATGATATTATATAGAGAACTTAATGTAATCTATAATGGGAGAGTGTATTTGATCACAATCAATTTTGGGTATCTGCGTGAACCCTTGGATTACAAAGCTCGCTTTATACCACTTCATCATTCTTAATTCTCTTTCGTACAAACGCTCACTTGTTACCAACATGGTTAACATTCAATGGTGTATGCGTTATAAAGAGGTTCATTCGTCGAGTTGAGCTATGCCTTAATTCCTCCTTTAAATATTAAATAATGAGGGCGCTTCTGGCGCCTACCTCTAGATCCAGATTATAATATGAGCAATTATATAGGCAATTGTGTTGTCAACAATTATAATATTTTTATCACAAATTTAATTTTCCTATATTCATAAATGTTCATGGCAACATCTAAGTCAATTAGATTCTAGTCATTTCCCAAAAATATTAAGATTTGGTCGTTCCACATCTAAGTTTAATTATTGGGGTCTTTCGCCTTTTGGACGAACACCTTTAGGACATAATTCTTTATAGGATATGAAGAGTGACAAAATTCTTCCGCGAATTCTTATCTTCTACACCAATATGTCTCCCACAATTTTGATGCCAATGAGCATCGGTAGATATATATGGTCTAATTTGGGAAAGGTATTCGGGACCTAGTCACTCGATTATGATTAGTATAATCAATAGATATGTTTGACATATTTATTTGCTAAAAGTTGTAAATTGATTATCTTCTGAACTTCTGATTCAATCTAACTAGTACGTGGATTGTAATACTGAAGATCTTTTCATCCCATGAAATTTCTCGGCATTCTATGAAATTTGAGCTCATATCTTCCCCTAATATCGTGAACCGATCTTCATAAAGTATGCAATCAACGTACGCAATTATATATTGATCTCCCATCATGGGCTCTAGGTATTTAGGCAACAAACAAATGTTTATAACTAACATGTATACCTAGTTTCTTTAATAGCCCCTAGAGGTACGATATGGTAGTAACAAATGAATATAGACCGCATACTAATGCCAAAAATGCAGATGAAAAATGTTCAATTTACCACATACTAGGTGTATGAGTGAATTATCATGATATGCACCATGTCAAATTTAAATTCAAAATAGTAGTATATCAAATTGGATGTCCCAAAACAAACACAGATATTCCAAAAAAAAAAAAAAAAAAAATCTTTTCACATATTCTTTAGAAAATATTCATGTGAAAATGAAAGCTATTGTTTTACATATATCCAATGTCCAACAATTATACAAATCTAACTCATTATATGCGCCCAATGTGCCCAATATAACCCAATAGCTCATGCCATAGTTTAAAATAATTTGGGTCTTTAAAATTTAAAAGGATATCGCAACATATAAAGTACTAAAAATATATATGCAATCATATATGTTTAGATAGAGAAAGCATACACATTAAATGAAATTATAAGAGTATTCAACCATATTGGAGAGGTTAAATGCCAAATAGATGTATAGTTGGTGAGACCATTCAAGATCTCCAAAACTCATTTTCACAACTTATGAAGGGTCATCAACATCAAATATTCACAACTTGTTTGCTTCAAGCAAACCAACATGATGTGATTCATTTTTGACTTTCAAGCACATAACATTTTTGGCAGAGTAGCATAACACTAAAAATTGAAGTTACAGACTTCGTTCATGAGTTATGAGTCATTAGTCACCCAAAGATTTATCACCGTTTAAGGTCTTCCAGACCTTAAGAGAAAAGCATTCAATGACTAGGTACATTTTCAAGAATTAAGGTTTTGAAATCTTACAAAGGTCAATAAAAGTCAAAACCCTTAGTATAACTTTGTCATGTACTACTACTCGACTACAAGGACACATGTCAACACCGTATGCATTTAACCTGATAAACAAGTCAACTTGGACTTAATTGAACAATTTTACAAGTTTAGAGGACCTGAATGAAGCTTTTTCACTTAGGGGACCTAATTGCACTATCCACTTGACTTAGGGGGTCAATTTAACACTTTTTCCAAGAATAAAATGTTGGACAGAGTAGATCAGAGATTGGCAGATTGCCACTGTCGAGAGAGAATATGAAGGGTCGGGTTGCTTAGGAAAGTTCTAGGGTTAGATAGGTTTATATATCAGGATTATTGTGTCGGGTTTTGGGTCATGAATAGTACACTACATTGGGCCTGAAATATTGTTTGATATCAGTTTTCAATTTTTGGGCCTAACAAATTATATAATCTAAATAGTAGGCCTGAATATATATATATATATATATATATATATATATATATATATATATATATATATATATATATATATATATATAAAATTCACAATCTTATTCAATTATTATTATATCTTGTCTTATATCTCTATATATATTAAAGCAAAATGATTGGCACAAAAATTTTCCCCCAAAAACTTAGTGGCATTTCTGTAAAACCAAACTCATAATAATAATAATAATAATAATAATAATAATAATAATAATAATAATAATAATAATAATAATAATAGCAAAATGATTGGCACAAAAATTTTCCCCCAAAAACTTAGTGGCATTTCTGTAAAACCAAACTCATAATAATAATAATAATAATAATAATAATAATAATAATAATAATAATAATAATAATAATAATAATAATAATAGCAAAATGATTGGCACAAAAATTTCCCCCCACCACCCCCTCTCTCCCCCCCCCCCCCCAAACTTATAATAATAATAATAATAATAATAATAATAATAATAA